CATGTTTATATGGATGGAGCTGGAACATGTTCTTCTTAGCAAAGTATCTCAAAAATGGAAGAAAAAGTATCCAATGTATTCAGCCATACTATTAAACCAATATATAAGCACCTACACGTTCATATGAAAACTATAACCCAACTACAGCCCAAGATGAAGGGGAAAGAGGAGGGGGAGGGGAAGGGAAGAGGGAGGGTAGTTGGTGGGACCACACCTATGGTGCATTTTACAAGGGTACATGTTAAATCTACTAAGTGTAGAATATAAATGTCTTAACACAATAACTAAGAAAATGCGGTGAAGGCTATGTTGACCAGTTTGATGAAAGTATTTCAAATTGTATATAAAACCAGCACATTGTACCCCATAATTTCATTAAAGTACACAGCTATGATTTAATAAAAAAAAATACCCCAGAAAGCTAGCAGAATGAGAGAGAATATTTGCAAATCATATATATGATGAGCATCTAGTACCCAGAATATATAAATATCTCCTATAATGCCACAATAAAAAGACAAAAACCTAATTATAAAATGAGCATATGATGTTATAGGGTAGCAGAATATTCCAACCCCAAATATGCCACTTTGGCATAAGAATTAATTTGAGTTGAAGGCAACTGAAAAGAAACAGATAACATGAAAATCTCTCTGTTGTCCATCTATTTGGGACGTAAATTTAGAGGTCGCCCCATCAGGAAGGATGAAAGTTCATCACCAAAGACAATGTCAGACCCTGAGGAGCCAGAAGAGGGCACCAGAGGAGACTGGATCACTCTTGGGCTTAAGTGATTCTGTCTCAGCCTTACTAACTAGCCTTTATCTACTGCAAGCTTCCCATGTGTTTGCTGTTCTAGAAGCTCCAAGTCCTTTTCCTAGGTCTGGCCACTTCTCTGAAAATGCATCATTCCTCTAATAAGCTGCTCTGTAAGCCCACGTTCTCACTGGTCTTTTGAGTTACTCCCTCTGAGTGCTCCATGTGTACGTGTGATGTGCTCACGCTGGTCAACTTCTGTTTGCTATACTCTTGTGAACTTGCCTTGGGTCAGTCCAATGTGTTGTGCCCCAGCCAGAAAACCCAGCAGGGTGAAAGGAAAAGATAATTCTTCCCAGAATGTGAACAGATTTTATCTAAAGAAGCTTTAGAAGCCAGGAAGCCCAAGAAAAGATGTTCAGTGTGACTGTCGGGGACGTGCACGTCGAAACCTCAATGAAAACCACTTTGTGTTCACAAAGATGATGTAACAAACAGTGAAATAGAAAGCAGAAAGTGTCGGGGGGGATATGGAAGAATTGAAACTCTGTGTATTGCTGGAGGGAATGTGAAATGAGCCGCTTCCATGGAAAAGTCTGGCAGTTCCTCAAGAAGTTAGACACAGAGTTACATGTGACCCAGAAACTCCATTCCTAGGTATATGCCCCAAAGAATTGAGGACATGTATTCATACAGAAGGTTGCACATGAATAACAGAAGCATTCTATTTTTACATATAATAAAAACAACACAAATGTCCATCAACTGATGAACGGATAAACAAAACGTGGTGGCTAGCAATGCAATGTTTTATATTCAGCTGTAAAAATGTGTTGTGCATTATGGGAAGTACAGCATTTTGTTTATATGAAATATAAAAAGAATAGGTGAATCAGCAGAAAAGACAGTAAATTATTGGATGCCAGGGCATTGAGAGAGGGGAGAAGGAAATGTCTGTGCTTCTTCTGGGGGTGAAGGGAACGTTCTGGAATTAGATAATGGTGATTGTTTCACAACATTGTAAATATCCTAATAATCACTGAATTTGTAGACTTGAAAATGGTAAACGTCTTAAATGTTTTATGAATTTTATCTCAATAAAATTTTTTCAAAAGAAAACACCTACAAAGATTACGGTTTCAGACTCACTCTCTGCCCATCACTTTCATAGGCTAGGTGGTAGGTTATTTACCAAACCCAAATTGCATCATTAGAATTTTAGGTTATAAAGGAGAAAAAGGGTTTATTAGTTGTTAAAATTAAATGAATCTGTAGAAATTCTTGATAAAATAAATGAGTCAAATAATTTAAAGAAATCATTTAAATTTGCCATTTTGCTAAAATGGTAGATTACCTTTTAGATTCTGTGGTGATAAAAACATTTTAATTGAGATGCCCTTAGTCTGGTATTGCTCTAGTACTCTAAGTTCCCACATAAGCAAACCAAAGCCCAACTTCAACAGTAAAATGAAACTAGAGACTTTATCAATTGGAAACCAACAAGTAACCTCAGACTAGACACTTTCCACCAATCAGAAATCACCAACTGGGTGATTTTGCTACTCTGACCCATCAATATATTTTGTCTCTGTATATCCCACACCAGCCAATAAAAGCTTCCTGCCCCAGCGACAGCTCTCTGAGCCTCTTCTGATTCTGAGTGCTGCCTGATTCATGAATTGTTCTCTGCACAAATAAACTGTTTGAAGGAGCTAAGGAAATTTCACCCCCAAATATGATTCCTTGGTACAAAGATTATTTTGAATTAAAGGCTATTCAGAATCAGGAAACACTGAAGGAAGACTTTATCTTTCTACTTAAATCTAAGGGGCTGCTGCCCCCCTTATCACATGCTAACAGACCTGGCTACGAGGTCATTTGAAGCACAGACCTGTCTCTCAGGTTAATCTGCAAATCAATCTGTTTCCACCCATCAACACAGATTCCCCTCCAGCAACCAAATGCTGCACTTATACTTTCCACACTCTTTCCCCTCCCATCTAAAAAGCTTCTTTGAAAATCCTTGACCATTACTCAGATGGTGGGAAATCATTCTTGTGGTTCCCCCCATGCACATGGTATTTGGAAAGAAAGCTTTCTTTTACTAATCTACCATAACTGTAAGTTGATGTTTCAGTGAACCAACCCAGGGGAAAAGGGCAGGTTTGACCCATGATCCCTACAAGTTTCTGCTCTGTCCTGGGTTACTGGCAAACTGCCCCACACAGAAACCTGGGCACCTCCTGGTGCCTTGTCCCCAGTAATCCTGACAACTGTGCTCTCTGCCCCGGCTCTGACCCTCCCTTCAGCTGATCTGCCAGACATCAGGTTCTCACCACCATCCCTTCCAACCCACATCACACGTGTCAGTGATTATTCTGACACTACTGTGCAGAAAAATAAATTTTATCCTGCTGATAAGGGTAACACCCCAGAGCATGAGCCCCTCAGGACAGCACATGAGGCCTCTCTAATTCTGCGCATCAGAGAACAGGAGAAGCAGCTCCCCACCTTTGCTAATGACGATTCACACTGTGAAACTTCACGCCATTACAAAGTGTTAACAGACTTCTAAGATCAGTTCTAAAGCAGCTTTTTTTCCCCCATGGATTTTATTTACATTTACTGATCCTCCTTCTCCCTACCCACAGCAGAACAGAGGCTCTCAAAGGCTTCCGTCTGGACCTAAGAGCAGAGTGTGGCCCTGGGCCAGACCTGCCTGCTCACATGTCTCCAGGCACAGCAAATGCTCGGCCAAGGGGACAGTTACAGTCCCTTCCCCCCTCAAATGGTCCTGGCTTGGCAATAAATATCATGGTCATCCATGGTCAGTTGAAGAGAAATTTATAGTTTTCTACTAAGTTTCCTTTATAAAAATTAAAATGAAACTCTTTAATTCATAGCTAAATGCAAAAACTGCCCTTTTAGGTACTGTTTTAAAATAATGCGTAGAAAGATTTACAGACGTAGACATAACAAGCCATCTTCTCATAGTGACCTATTAGAAACCAGCCTTATGATGAAGTTCTTTTAGACTGTGAGCAATAGAGGTCACAGTGCACAGGTGTCCTCACAGCACTGCGAGGTATATTTTGGGGGGGGGGGCAGAGCACACAGGTGTGAGAACCTGGGTCTGAGTACAATGGATTTCCCTGAGGAAATTATGCATAAATTGTAATTTAGTGAAAATTATTAGTATTACTTAGTGGCAAATTCTGAATTCAAAAGGCCTTTTTAAAGACTGATTTGAAATTACTGAGGTATTTATTTATAAAACTGTTTATATAAAAGTGACTATTTACAAAACAATTTTCTAAGAAAATGTGTCCTAAATTCCAAAACTTGGATATTTAAATTAATTTTTGGAGCACAACATTTTTAATGGTGTCTTCCTAAAATTTTTTTTATTCAAACTTGTACTAATTTACGTTCATGCATGTTTGTTTGGACAAGGCTGGTGAATGATGGTTAGAAATTAATTCGGGCAAAAAGGAAAGGATGGTAGCAGGAGCGCCTTAGAGACGGGCCTGGTTTAGACAGGCAGAGGTGGGGTAAGCGAAGGTGGAAACGCCAGTGACCTTGGGAAACAGACACTAGCCCAGTTTTGCTGTACGTGGGGCACACAGAAAAATAGCACATCTTGCTCTCCTGGAAACATGCTCTTGTTGTGTTGGCAAATTTCACAAAGCAATAATTATTTTCAGTGATATGCTCTTTCCCAGAATGAGGAAATGTATTAATAGAAATTTAAAATACTGAAATGAAACCTATTTACACTTTACAGAAAACGTGGTGTTAGTAATTTCAAGTTTTAAAACGGTGAGCAGGAGTCGTGAGGTTTTAAGAATGAAATTTCACTTACACAACAGAAAACTGCCCAATCTTTCTGGTGAGAAACAGATGTCCATGACTTAGTAAGACAACAGGGAAGTGTGGGCAGAAATGAAGAAAGGCATAATGATCGGTGCTGTCAAATACTTTTGAGAAGTCGTTTCCACAATTTTACATACAGAGAAGCAGCATGGAATCATTTCAAAATGTTTAAAATAAAAAAAGATCATAATCTTTATTAAATATAAAGCCAATGGAATCACCATTCTGGTAAATTTTACATCTTGTTAATGTTTCTTTAATGTCGAAGAAAAAGGACAAAATCAGTAACAAAGTTACACAAAATGCACCTGCCCTATATACTTGGAAACTGGTAGAGTGTTGGCCCCACCCGGCCTCTGAGTGTCACGTACCAGAGGTGCACTCGGGGGGACGCCTGCCGACCAGGTTGCGGGAGCGACTTTCGGCTGCCAGTTGGCTCCCCCAGTCAACTTCTTCTCTCCAGCATTCCACTGAAGATCTCCCCTAAAACCAAACATTCAAGAGAAGCAAATAAACAAACAGTCCTCCCCCACAAGTCAGAAAAAATAAATGATTGAGGCTCTTTGGATGCTTTCATTTGGGTTTAGACAGTTTGCACAGTAATGAAGAGGGGAAGTCTTACCATGATCCATCTAAGGAAGTTTAGAAGCATTTGAAAAATCTCATTTAGAGTTTGTATCTCAATGATAATAGGAATTTCCTTTTACTTGTAATAGAAAAATATGCGAGAAAATTCAACTGAATTCATTTTTTTTTCTTGAGACAGTCTCACTATGTTGCCCTCAGTAGAGTACTGTAGCATCACAGCTCACAGCAACCTCAAACTCTTGAGCATAAGCGATTCTCTTGTCTCAGCCTCTCAAGTAGCTGGGACTACAGACGCCTACCACAGCACCCAGCTATTTTTGTTGTTGCAATTATCATCGTTGTTATAGCTGGCCCAGGCCAGGTTCGATCCCTCCAGCTTCAGTGTATGTGGCTGGCACCCTACCCATTGAGCTATGGATGCTGCCCTTCATTTGTTATTAAAAAATAGCAAACAAATATATCTTAAATACCATATGCCTATATTTTGTTGAATTTAAGATACATTGATAAGTAAGTAATCTTTCTGGCAAGAAAAAAACTCATTACTTATTAAGAGAACTGGAAAATCTGGGTAAGAAATACGATAAAATGTATAATGGCACTTTCTGGCTCTTACAGGGTTCAAGAAATGGTTTCACACAACTGTGTCATGACTACAACCTGCCTGACAGAGACTGTGAGACACTTCCTATGGAAAACGTGTCCCAACGTCGGTGACAAAACACACATTTGAAGAAGGTGCATCTGGTTCATCATTTCTGCCATCCTTCCTTACGTTGACACTCCACGAATGCCTCTTAAAAATCAGTGTTAACTAGGAACGTTGTAATGAATCTAGAATTAAAACTATTAAAATATTTGAAACCACAATTTCCAAATATTTGGAGATATAACTTAGTGACAATCTTAGAGATCGAAAGATATTATTCCTTTTCATTGCAAAGTAACAGTTGGAGGTTCCAGCAAAAAAAACAGTAACAAAAATTCAAAACAAAATAAAAAGCAATTGTGAAATTACCTAGTTTGAGAATGAATAATTAATTATTCCAATAAGTATAATGTTTGATAGTCTCAAGTTGGTACAAATACATAGTCAAAAAGAAACCAGATCATTACAAAACACTTACTTTTTTGATGTGGTACCAGAAATTCCAAGATCTATAAATGGATAAAAGAAAAGAGAATTTAAACCTCTGTACTCAGCTTCTGTAACACAATATGACTGTTCAAAGAAAAAAGGATCAGAGGTCTCGAGAAAGTCCCTGTTTTGCTTAGGAATGATTATATTCAGTTCTACAAAAAAGAAACTATTTAGAAAACATATCCATGACCTAAAATTTTCTTTTACTTCTTGTGAGACATAAGGATCATATTTACATGCCGATTGGCGTCCACAAAAGAGTAAACACAGCAGACTTGAAACTGGTGTCTTCAGAAGGCCTGTGAAGCTGGCGTGTGGAGCCCAGTAGTACCCAGTTCTCACATGGAGACAAATATACCTGAGTGACAAGGGAGGCTCCCTGCACCTACACTGTGCAGACGGGGTGACGCTGAACACCCGAGGGAGGCTC